CAGGCAGGCCCTGGGGGGGGGAAAGGGGGGAGCTCAGGGATGGGCACCCCAGTACCGGGGACGCAATGGCACCAGGCACCCTGCAACGCCAGGAGCCAGCAGTGCTGGGGACACCGCGCACTGGGACCCATCGGTGTTGGGCACCAGGACCTGTTGGTGTTGGGCAACCTGGGCATTGGGGCCCATTGGCATTGGGCACCCCCTGGGCATTGGGGCCCATGGGTGCTGGGACCCACTGTCACTGGGAACCCCAGGCTTTGGGCACTGGGACCCATCACACTGGATACAAGTACCTGTTGGTGTTGGGCACCCCCCTGGGCATCAGGTACTGGGACCCATTGGGACCCACGGGCACTGGGACCCACTGGTGTAGCACCCCTGGACATTGGGCACCCCAGGCACTGGGAACCGAGGACCCATCCACACTGGGACCTATTGGTGCTGGGCATTGCTAGGACACCAGGACCCACCAGCAGTGAACACCCCAGGCACTGGGACCAGCACCTTTGGGCATCACGCATCAGGATGCATCGGCAGTGGGCACTGAGACCCCCTGGTGGCACGGGCACTGAGCACCAGCACCACCCACCAGTGTTGGGCACCAGGACCTACTGGATTTGGACTCTCCAGTCATGGGTGCTAGGCACCCACAGGCACTGGGACCCACAGACCTTGAGCACTGGGACCCACTGGTGTTGGCACCCTGGGTATCAAGCACTGGGACCTCCTGCAAGCCTTGGGTGCCACCACAGGCACTGGTGGGGCGGGTGGGAGCTGGCACCCATGAGCACACGGACCCCTGAGGTACCTCAGGATGTTCTCAATGCAGCTGCGCTGGCGGAAGAGGGCGTTGACGACAGGGGTGCCCTCGGGCACCAGCGGGGCCTTGCAGAGGAAGGCGACGATGGAGAGGACACTATGGAAGCCCTGGAACTCGGGGTCGGCCTCGGTGCAGAAGGTGACACGCTGGCACAGCTCCGTGAGGATAGCCAGGTCCAGGATGATGGGGCTGGCCAGCAGCGAGTCCTGCGGGCACCAAGGGGCAGGGGGGGTGAGCCAACTCCCAGGGATGTGCCACCCCTGGGGCCACCCCGGCCACCCCACCCACCTCGCATGTGTTGTGGATGACAATGGTGTTGGTGCCACCCATCATGATCTCCGACGTGTACTCATCCAGCGCACGCTTGCTGTCCCCCACGTAGGGCACGTACTTGATCACCACCTGCAAAGCAATGTCCCATCACCTCCCCGTCACCCCCATCGTCATCATGTATGTGTGTCCCCCCCCCCCAGCTTCCAACTCACACAGTGGTCAGGCTTGTCCTGGGGGCCGTAGAGGACGGGGTTGGCCTGGACTGTGTCGTCCACCACGTTGCTCTTGGAGATCTCCTTGGAGCGAAACTGCTGCGGGGCCGAGAGGTTCTTCCCGTCGTTGTTCCCCAGGTGGTTGTAGCTCACGATGGACTTGGTCTGGGCAAGGGGTGCAGGCAGGTCACCCCCTGTCACCCCCTCATCACGGGCAGGTCCCTCCCAGGCTGCCCCATCCCCACGTACCTTGAGTCCAGCACCCACCAAGAAGTCCACCAGCACCGACTTGAGCTTGGTCTGACCCGACTTGAAGTCATCGCCACAGATGAAGACGCGGCGCTGGGCAGCCAGCTCCACCGCCCCCGGCACAAAGGTGTTTTGAGGGGAGCCATTGATGTAGGCGCAGCCCTCCAGGATGCTGGCCACAGCAAAGAGCGTGGACGGGGACACCTCCAGGCCTCGCTGTGGGGACACGGGGCGGCTCAGCACTGGTGGGTGCAGTGTTGTCAC